AAGTGAATAATTGTTGAGCAGGCAGGAAACAGACTTATCAAGGGGAAGTTGCCTCCAAACCTAACTCTTCAATTATTCAATTTCGTGTTTCGTCATCCATGTTGGAAAGTATAAAAGTCAAAACCAAAAGTAAAAACAAATATTGTGAATTATTAAAAAGGGACTTAAACAAGTGGAATTTTGAGAAATTAGCAAGTAAATGACTAGAATTAAATTAATAATAATAAAAAAATACAAAGAACATAATATAAGTGGAAGGGGAAAACAGAGGAAATAGATAAAATTTTTTTGAGGAAGTAAAGAACTCTTTTTTGCAAAAACATAATAAAATACTTTATGTAAAGAAATTGTTTCCCACCAAACTTACTTTCAAAGTAATTTTTTCACTTTTACCCGAGAGAAAATTAATATACAGTTTATAAATCCTTCAACAATAAATATTTCTCTAAAGTGAATTCATACACTAATTCTGTCATGTTCTGGTTTAATAACACTACAAAAAAGAGCTAAACCTGAGATTTTGGATTCATTATTGTAACATGACAATGTAAACATGCTTACTCAGAGTGGAATATAAACAACCTAATGCTTAATGTTTATTTGGCCCAAAGTTCTAATTGATACAAGTTACATGACACCCCTGATTGCATTTCACTTTGATAACAGTCAATAACTTTTAATTTTCAGCTGGAGGAGAGAAGAGAAGGGAATGAAAACAAATATGAAGTGCACTTAAATTTGAAAGAAATATATGAAGAAGAGTGGAGAAACAAATTGTGGATACACGAGATAAATTAAAAATTATGTAAACATATAAATTCAAAATTAATGTTAAAAAAAGTGGGATATGCACCCAAAAGCAGGGATTTAGCTAAGCCAAAATTTGCCAAGATTCATGATCTTTCAGACTGTAAAAAGACAGTGCTAACACAGCATGGAAAGTGTTAAATAATTTCAGAGATAAAATAATTTTGCTTCCTCAATTAACATGTTATAAATAGTGTACTCTCATAACCATATAAGAGAAAATTGCTGTTAAATCTCCCATGCTGAATTTCTTGAAATTCAATAATTTGTTTATTTTCACTTAAAAAAAGCTGATTACAGAGTAAGCGGTCGTGGATTAGTAAAATTTTATACAGTAATAAAATTATGAAAAATCAAAGAACACTGATAAAAATAACACATAAATGGAAATCTTTAACTTTCTCTAAATTAGTTTGTATAAAAAAGGTGGGGTGGGGGGAGAATTCCAATAAACCATGACGGTTTAACCTATGAATAATCCATGCTCACTTTTGAATAAAATCAAATTTCAATTTTGTGAAAATTTACCATAGCAAATTAAAAAGCAATTTTTTCTTAAATGTATGCAAATAAACTGTTCAATAAAAGCATTCCATATTTATAACATATTTTGATTGAATTATTATGTATTGCTGAATAAGCTCTTCAGAATTTTCTGCATGCACATCAAGTAATTTCTTTTTACATTAAACACAAATCGAGAATCTTCAAATTATTTTTACATAATTCCGTCGTTTCTAATATATATTCCGCTGTCTTTGATGTTGAGTTTATGCAGTTCACATTTAACTGTCCAAAACATTTTAAATGATGATTTCCAACTGAAATACAACTCAAAGCTAGTTTGCTACACTCTTCCCCATGAGTTTTATATCAGCAACCGAGAGGGATGCTTTTGTAAGCAGTGCCTGTAGAAATACTTTGGAATAAAAAATGAAAAACATGATAAACAGGCTAAAGAACATCAACAAATCCAAAATTTCAGTTATACAGCACATTTTGATACACTGCTAAGAGAGGTATTAATCCAACTTTACATATATGGAGTATAGAAGTGAAATTATCTTAGGGCTTAAATTAGGGGAAACTTGCTAGAGAGGAGAATAAATTAGGGAAAAACTCGCTAAAAATATCTATATAAATATATAACAATTTCTGAAAAATTGCCCCAAATCGGTAAATTAATTGAAATATTTAGATTTAACTACATCTGAAAAATTTTTTTTTTACGCTATCCATTTTTTATCCAAAGATAGGTGCAACAAATCTGGGAATATTCATTTGGGAAAAGCTAAACCAAAAAAATCTAAATTGAATTAAGAAAAAACATACATTGAACTGATTGTCTTCAACCTCAAACCAACATGGTTAATTGGTTAAGGCAAAACAATTTGAGGGCTATCTGCCTATTCGTGGCAGAGGTTTTAAGGGCAAAACAATGGGAAATAACATGGAGAAAATGATGAAGCTTTCATGCAGCCACTCTTCACTGGGATTCAAACTGAGATTGAACTACTAGTATTCAGTGAATTTATTTACCACTTGGCTGCTGGTGGACCCCAACCAATATGTGTGCCTAATTTTGTTGCTCTAAGCCTAGCCATCTCTTTGTTAAATAATAAATACACACAAACACAGAAAAATTTTGTTTCATTATTGTTGATTATTTGCAATCCTGAATGCATACATCATGTTTTATTACAATAGAAACTCAATTCTCTGTCATTCTCAGATTCTAATATCTATCAGCCATTCAATGAACAGCTACAGGTAGAATAAATCCATCAAAATGCAAAAAATAGAGATAAATAAAAAAATGAATGAAAAAATGATTTTCCTTTTTGATCTGTTGTTTCTCTATTCAGACTGTGTCAGTTTCTCAGAACTTCATTCTCAAATGGATTTTCTTGCTTGCTTTTGAATTTTCTGCATTAAAAAAAAATTTTTTTTTTACATTCAGTTCTTGAACAGACCTCACTATTACAGGTTTTATCTATCCTTGCAGTAAATGCATTTGTTTTCAGTATTTTCTTCACTTTTGTTATAATAATAATTAGTTGTGAATGAAAAGTCACTGGACTGATTGTTTTCATCCACCACTGTTATCTCAGAAACAGTGAATGCAGTACATGATTCACCCGCGTTTCCCTCTTTTCAAGGTTAATATTTCAAGTTCTGACTTTTTATCTCAACAGCAGGCGATACTTGAAAAGGCACCCTCTTTGCTCTCCATTAGAAGAATTTACAACTGTACATGAATATGAAATTCTATATCACGGATAGGGCCGTTCCTAGCAGGCGTGCAGTGCAGAAAAGTAGGTGGGCGGCCAAAATTAGGGGTGGCCTGACACTCAAGGCGATACCACGCCTAAATATTTAAAATTCATTGTAAGTATTTGTCATATGTAAGCACTGAGCATGAAATAAAAATTTTATTAATCATTGAGTTTTGTTTTCAAATTTTGGGGGGAGGGATCAATTCTAGGAAGGTATGCGGATAGCCAATGAGCTTAAAAACAGTTCTGATCATGGATTCTCAACCAGGGGGAATTTTCACACTTTCAGGGAGAATGCAGTTAGCCTTTTATTTACCTGTTAAGTATTTAGCTTTATTTTATGAATATGAAAAACTACTTTTATTCAAATTTTGGTATTTATGAACATTTCCTATACTTTTCCTTAATTTATAAAACACATTAAAAATAATCTAAATTTTAAAAAAATATATAAATGATTTTTTTTTTTTCATTTGGGAATAGACAGGGGTGAAATTTTGGAATAGACATGGTGAAAGGGGTGCATGGAGCAAAAAAGTTGAGAACCACTGTTCTATGTGAACTTGCATAAATCTCTTTCAGAAAAAAAGCTGTAACAGAAAACTTCTGGTAATGAATATTAAACAAACACTCAATTTTTTTAATGTTTCAGGAAATTTAAAATGAGAAACGAAAAGATCCAAGATGATCAGTACATTAATTGGCCCCGCACATCCAAGACAGTTGCTTAAACCTGAAAAATGTAAGGTTAGCAGCACCTAGAGAAAAGCTGAATTAGTAAAGACTAATAAAGTCACAGTGCAAAACATTATACTCGAATTTGATATGAGGAAAATGTACTTAAAACTATGCATAGGAACTGGACAAGAGAATGAAAGGGATCTTCAAAGTAAAATTTTACACCAACAAATCTTCAAAGCAGTGACACAGACCAAATTTTTTTTTAATGTTTATAAGCCATGAAGAAATATGAACTTTTTTTAGTATTACTCTGAAATGAAACACCAAACCTCGCAATGAGAAAGCCTCTTGTCAGCAAGGGCACAAAATGTTACGTCAAGATTCCTTTTCCTTATATCGTGGGATAGTTAATGAAATCCACTACAAGTTCTGACAATTCTTTATAAACCAGTGAGAACACAATTACCTGAAATGTGGAAGAACAGCTCATGAGTTCTTTTCCATGGCAAGAGACCCATCCAAAAGTTATCATTCTATGGATAATCTGCTGAACACTGGCCTTTTGGTTCAGGCTTGAGTCAAAGCAAATTGTCCATTCTGAGTGTTTTTCCCATCTGTAGCATGGCTACACACCATTTTCCCTTAAAAAGTCTTCCATGGGGCAAGAAATAAAATTAAAAAACCCACAGACCAGGCTCTATGTGACTTTTTTCTGATTTCAAGGAACCAGATGTCAGTCCAATGATTGAAAGAAAAGGAATATAACTCATGGACAAACTATTAGAACACCACTTGCAGCAATGCTTTCCAGTAGTAGAAAATTCCCATGATTAGGTATGAGGATTAAGGAGGAAAATATTTCTACTAAATTTTGTGAATAAAAAATACTGCAGCAACAGCATAGCTCTATTGAGCCACAATGCTACAAATTCCTCTTTCAAAAAGGTTGACCTTTTTTTTAAAAAAAATTTCTGAATATAGTAACATTTTTTTTAGCTTAATCTAAACAAAATTAAAAAAAAAAAAAAAAAAAATTATAAAAGCCATCATAAAGCATTTTAAGAGCTTAAACTTATCATTTTATTAAACGGGGGGGAAAAAAACTCGACCATTTGCAACAGGAATGAATTCGCTATCATATTTCAGGTTTTACTAAATGTTAAATTAGAACTGGTTAGTGCATACTAAAATGATTTTTTAGTCTAAAAGTACTAATATTAAGCATATAAAGTTTACCTCCTTCATTCCAGTACTGAATAGTTTGGGTATGTGCTGTATTAAGGTTTAAATGACTACAGCCAATTCCAAGAGCTGTAGTTTGAGTTACTGATTTTCCACTCTGACCAGATTCTGTCACTTTTGTTGAAGTATGACCTGGAGTACTCAATGTTGATGGCACATTAAAAATCACTGGTGGCAAACTTTTTAGACCACTTTTAGCTATTGAGGAAAAAAATGGCCTTGGAAAACACTCTGATCCTTGAAATGAAGTCCTTGGGAAAGTTTTTTTTATAGTTGCAGGTTTTGCACAGGACTGCTCACTAGATACAGTTGAATATTTAGCTTCTGTAATTGATTTTGACATAGCTATTGGAGATTTAGATACTGTAAATGCCTCACTTGCATATGATGATGGAAACTTCAGTGTTTGGCCATCAGTTAAATTTAGAGATAGTGAAACAGATGAAGTGGATTTTGTTGCAAATAAACCACTTTCTTGTTTGGCATCGAATTTAGGAGGCTTTGGAAATAAAGGTCCCAGGCTAACTTGTGGTTGAGGACTTAATTTTAAATCTAAAGATGAAGGTACATTCTGTTTTCTCCGTATTGGATTTTTTAGCTTGATCCTGGTGAACACTTTTTTGTTTGATGAAGGAGCAGAAGAACTAGTCAATGGTACATGTCCTATAGTCACAGATGTAGAACCTAAAAATACATTATCAACAGAAATAAACAAGTTAATCATAAATTTATAAAAGATATCAGTAGCAAAACATTTTATCAGCGATATTCATGAAATTTTACAGGGTGTTTGTGATAAATTTGACTCTTTTGGGTGATAGAAAAAAACAGGGAATAATGTTCTCAAAACACATTGTATTGTACTCCCAGAAATGATATGGTATTAGAACACAATAAAACAGAATAAAAAAAAAAAAAAAAAAAAAAAAAAAAAAAAAAAAAAAAACATCTTTGTGGCCACAAATGCTTTAAAAGCACCTCCTAAAGCATGCAGCCTTCACAATGTCCTGCAAATGCTGCTTTAACCCTGTCAATAAGCTGGGTCATTGTGTTAGAGGCAATGCGGTAGCTGTGTTGCTCCACCATGCCCCACACATAACAATCCACAGGACTGGAAGCAAGAAAGGTAGGGGGCCAGATATCTGAAATGGTGAAGTTGTAGAAATTCTCACACAACCACTTTAGGGTGTTCCCAGCTGTATGGCAGGGAGTGGAGTCTTGCTGCCAAACGTACGGTCATCCAGCAGCCACTTTCTCTAGCCAAGACTTCACAACAATATATAAAAACTCCACATACCCATTAACATTCAGCCTGAGTCTCTGTGGAATGATATGCGGGGGGGGGGGTCACATCACCATCACTGAAGGCACATCCAATCACCATCACAGCTTGTGAAAATTTGGACTGTATGACATGGAGAATATCAGATGGATTTTGGGTAAGTTATTTATTATTCTGGTGGTTGTGCACCAAAGTTCTTTTCATCAGAAAACAAACCTGTCTGGTCCAATCACATGTTTCATTTTATTGAAGAGTTTCTTTGTCTTGATGAGGCAGCTGCCTTGTGCCTTTTCAGTCAAGAGTCGGCTTTTATGCCTCTTGTAGGTGTGATAACGAAGGTCCTGGTTTAAAGCCAGCTTCATGGTTGATAGACGACAACCATTTCCAGCACCAGAGCTTCGATTCTCTTCGCAGGATCTTCCGGAATAGTCTCTTGCAGTTGGTGAATGAATTCTGGTGCGTAGTGGCAATCAGATCGCCTTCTGTGAGCTATTCTAGCAGCCACAGCTTTGTAGTCATCGTTGCACTTCTACATTTGACTTCGTATCACTTTCTCTATGTTCAAGGAGCACTACATAACTGTTTTGATTGCAGAATTTGGTTGGCCGGCATGAATCATCATGAAGCAGGTAACCCTTTTCCAATATTCTGGTGGCTTCCACCAGCCCATTGCAGTTCTGTTTGACTTTTGACTTTACAGCTTTATCTCAAACCAAAGAGAATGCTGGCAATATCTTCAGACAACTCATATATACATGCAATAAAACCAACATTCAAATTTACCCCAAACACTCTGCATAAATATATTCACAGAGTATCAGCAAGATAAAAATAAACAGTAAGGTATGTTTAGAAAATTTTGGCTGCATCATATATTTGAAAATAATGTTGTTTGCTAATAAAATATGAAGAAATATTTTCTTGTTTTATTACACACAATAAAGGCATGCATAAGGCTATCATAAAAAAAAGGGAAATTTCTCAAAAATGGCCCCATAAATGTTGTTTAGAAAATATTCAATGTATGATAAGCTATGTGATGAACTTTACCTGGCAAATCATTTGCAGCAGAAGGCAGAAGAGGTGGAAGTCATTCAACAACATTCTTGAAATGATCAGAATTATTTTTCTGCTTTAAACAGGGGATTCAAATGCTATTTAATCAAGTTGCATTCCTTTCCTGCCTGGATCCATTAATGCAGGTATTCAGTTACTCATGATGTATATTAGACAATAGTAAAAATTTTCCCAAAAGCCCACCAAAATTTAAGCAATGAACAGTTTCTTCTCAATAGCATTGGAGGCATAAGACATTAACACAGTTCACAAGAAAACATTTTACACCAGATTGTTAAAAAAGTAATTTAGCACAAAGCAAACAAGATTTTGTATTAATGAGTTTGCCCTGCATTATTTCCTGGCTAGCTCAGCATAGATAATATATAATATATATATATATATATATATATATAACAGTGCATCTCCTAATAGACATGACATTTTATAGTAGTTGAAAGAACATTATGCTTCTTTTCTGAATGAGGCAACTTCACAGCTAAAGGCTTTATATGTAGGATGCACTTATTCTATGCCATTTATTCAGTTACTGAGATATGTAATTAAGTTGGACTAGAAAACACATAACCTGCATTGGTGGTTATTACTGTTCACAGATGAACAATTAAAGGCCTCACATACAAAATATCCTGATATGGAGAAAGCAATACATAGATGATCTGAAACCAATATCCTTGAAAGATAGGAATTAAAAAAAAAAAAAAAAAAAAAAAATCTGCATTCTGACATCAGTATCCTTTTAGCCTAAGAGAACTGTTTGTATTCTCTGATTCTCCAGAACTGCTAAACAGGAGTTTAAGAGAATGGTATCTTTTACTAGAGAACATATGGTCTTTGAGGTCTCAGATGTTTAAGTACCAAAAACAGCATGCTTTAACACTATTATTAGCCCAGTAATTAAGACAAATAACTTAACTGGCAGCAATGACAGAAGCTGAAATTAGATGAATTCATATCTCATACCATTTCTGAAACAATTTCTCATAACTATTTCTGAAACTATTTAATCATTACTGAACATTTCCCTTCTTTTCACCCAAACATGCAATTTTTCAGAACATAGTTGTTTTGTCAGACAAGCATAATAGAATAAATTGCAATACAAAGTCCGAGATGATCTAAAATCCAGATCTTAAAGCCACCAACAAAATTAATTTTAGGAATTTTTTTATGCTTTATGCACGCGCATTTGATTTTATTCCCTGTAAGAAAACATGTGGGAAATCCCAATTCTTAATTTCACTCTGGCACTAAATGAAATACCTCGTTACTGAAGAAACAGTCGTTTTAGCATAAATTTGTGTGCTCAATAATTTGGATTCGTAGCTGCATATCTGCTTGGCATTCATCTCAAACTGTAACATTTTACACAGAAACATCGCTGATTTTACAACTTCTAATATCTTATGTCCCTGATGCCAAACTGGCAAATCATTATTTATTACATTTTGCTTTCATTATCTCATGTTTATCACTACATGACAACTTGAGAAATGACTCATGCAGCAATGCCTAAACAATTTTTTTTAAAATAGTAATTGAATAACAAAGAGTATGGAAACCTTTAAGGTTGGTATTATTCTTGGTGATGATCACAGATTAAGTTAAATGAGCTAAATGTTGATGAGGATAAATTTAACAAAAATTTTTTTCCATATGCTAAAAGTAGATTTTGTTAATGATACTCATAAGACAAAAGATTACATTTAGTGCTATTCGAATTAAGAATGACTGATTTTTTTATTCACATAAACCCAGAACCAGTGCCAGAGCTCACACGGCCGCAGTGGATGGCAGAATTTAGGGAAGACAACATTTTTTTTAATTTAGAGAAGCACCGAGTAACAAAACTAAGGGATGATAAAATTTTTAGAATTTAAGGAAAGCACTGGGACCCAAAATTAAGAACTTAGGACCTGCAGAGACAGCAAAATATCTAACGCCGGCCCTCAGTAAGCTTAAGTATATGTGAGAATTAATTTATTCACAACTCAGATAAACCTTAAGCATGTTCAAGAATTAGATATAAGTATATATAAATAATTAAAGTAATTGTCTCAGTGTATGATAGAAGCAAGACAAAATTTAACGGAACATTTTGTCTTCGTTGCCAATCTCATGCTACATAGCCGATAAAATATAGCGGATGCTGTTAAGTTAGGCTAAACAGATTCTACATAATTTCAGTTAATAGAGCAGGTTGTGCTCTTCCTTAACTTTCTGATTTGATCCTGCATATTATGTTTTGCAGGCCGTTAGAATTACAGCAATTTTATGAAAACTAATGTTTTAACTTTCGATTGTGTCGAAAAGTGTTTCTAATTCTGCAGTTGCAACAGGATCTACAAAAGCATAAGCATGCTTTGATGCCCATTAAATAAAAAGTGGTATTTCTGCAAAAAATGCATATAGGTATATCCATCTCAAAATTATAACAGGAGTATGGCATTGGAAAGTCAACTGTATATGAAATAACATAAAAAGGAACTTTATGAATTTTTTGTGGATTCAGACACCCCACTCTCAACGAATAGCAGAAAAATTATTCGCTATGCCAAAAGCATGAAGGTAGGAAGTAAGGAGGAGAGGCCCTGGTTTTCTCCATACACTGCTTTGAAGCACTGGCGATCCCTTTGTGGAGACCAAGACATTCTGTGACATAAAATTAAAATCAATGGGTTTTCATATGCTCAGATGGAAATATTTTGTAATTATGTCATAAATATGTATATATTTCCTTTTTCTACAATATTTTAGAGTCCTAATAGTATGTGAAAAAAACACATTTTTAAACAATATTTCATTCTGAATGAAATTAAACACTATACTTTTCACAGAATAGTTTGCTCAGAATGGTTTAATTTGAATGAAATATTTTCACAAGTTTCCGTTAATTACATTAGAAAAAAAATTTAACGTAATTCTATTTTATTTGGTTAACAATTACAAAAATTAAGATCAAAGGTTATTGTATTATTAATTATGCATTATTTCTTTTCTATTTATAGGGCTTCTTGCCAAAATAATTTCTCAAATATGACATGATTTTTTAGCTTTTGAGGCATCTTTAAATCGAAAAATCTAAGTCAATTTATAATTAATGCTCTATTCAGTCCATTTCAAATTAGAGCACTTTTTATTTTAATAGTGAAATACGTTAACTATTGTGCTCATTTCTCTGTACTTTTTTTTTTCAATATTATTTAAAACTTGTAACTGAGTCATTATCAGAATTTTTTTTTACCTTAAATTCAACAATACATATTCTAAAACTTTTCTTTATTACTTCCTTAAGTACACATCTCATAGAATTTGCTTTACAATA